GATCACCGACCGCCATGTTGGCTATTAAGTAATTCGTGGTACTTCTTCTTAATCGAATGTCCCTAAAGACTATCCACACTATAAGGACGTTTGCCATTATGACCATAACAAATTGAAGAGAAAAGGCCGCAGTCCATGGTATCTTGCCGTAGTAAGGAACAGGAATACCAGGACGAGTAGAGTTGAGAGTAGAATTATTAAACATCGTGTTTATACCGTTCGTCCTGCTTGTGATGTTTTGCAATGAATAAGTTTACCATAAACGTGAACTTTATMGTTGACAAAATGCGGCAGGAAGTAACAACATCTATTTAAAAATGATTAGTATCTAAAATACACTCCGGAGGTCTAATGAAAAACAACATTGTCAAGTAGTTTTGTATATAAAGCTATAAAGATCYTATCTATAATAATCTTCTTTTGCAATTAGAGGAAGTCGATAAATGCTGTAGATGACTCATACAAGATGAAATTGCCTATTGTTGCACCCCAATCAATAAAGGGGCGGTTCCAGCTGAAATTTGTCATGAATTGATGTCCTTAATGAAGAAACGGATATTTTCGTCCCAATCATTCCTAACGCCTACAGTCGAATCTCCCGTAAGCGGACACTCTTGGAAAACGAAAAATGTGTCCGCAAGTAGAGATGTCCGTCTAATAAAAAGGGATGTTTAAATGGTTGAACAATGTCAGATATTCTTGTTTAATATTTAGGTGTAATCGTATAKACTTCCTATGGTCTTTTGGCTGACAAATTTTTCAAAAGAGCGATCAACACTGCAAAGGTTGTTATAACGGGAAAGCGCACTAACAGAGGAGAATGTTTTGGACTAGAAGTGCCATATCATTATCACTTTGGTGGGTGGTCTAGTGGTTGATCTACTGGCCTCTCACCGCTGTGGTCCAGTTTTGATTCCCGGGCACGGACCATATGTGAGTTTGAGTTTGTTTGATGTGTTGTTCTCTCCCTTGCCACGAGGGTTTTTCTCCGGGTCCTCCGGTTTTCCTCCCTCAGCAAAAATCAACATGTGAAGAGTGTTGTGTGCTAAAATACTTAATGTAGAGGTAGTGAGTGTGAGAGTACAGGGTCCGCAGTAATTGGCTCA